TCCGAAACTTGTGACACTTCTTGTAACAACGTCAGCACCGTCGTCGGAGAGTACCTGTTCAACACACGAAATCTCAAATAAACAAATCACTCGATACACAAAGATTCACCGCATATAATCTCATGAATAGGTACGTGCATGATTATTTTGGAAAATAATTAATTCCTCCGGCAATCAATGAGATCCACTGCTTCTTTCATCTTAGAACAAGCAAAATTGAACCACTTACCTCGGAAGGAAAGTGGAAATGTCTTTCTCGCTGACAGATCGTTTCTTAAGCTTCATTTTCTGGTTGATGCGATGAGCATACAAATGGCCAATAACAACTGAAGATTACTTTTCTCTCTCTGATAATCGACCAAAACCCTAGCAAAGGATTCAGACGAAGAGGGAAAAATCTCCGACGAGAGAGAATTGTGAACACTCAGATGAGAACAAAGAGGGAACAGAGGACGACTACGAGTACGGAGAGAGAGAGAGAGAGAGAGAGAGAGAGAGAGAGAGAGCGATAGACTTTGGCCAATAGTTGTGGAGCGTGGTTTTCACGCGCGAAATGCCGCGTCGGGTCGCGGCGCCGCCGGTCGATAAAAGCGGTATCGAGTACAAATATAGTCCATCGAACAGAAATCGCGGCAATGCTTGTGCCATTCCAATTTCCAATTTATTAAATTTTATTAATTTTTTTAGAAACAATTCAATGACATTTTTTATATTTTCCTTTCAATTCCATATTTTCTTTAAATGAAAAAAAAAAAAAAAAAAAAACAATAATTTTGGTGTCTTATTTTCATTTTTTTTTATTAATTTTTTAAGCATATAATATATAAACGGGAGCTAGCTTTCCACTAAATTAAAAATTACTTGTGTAGCTCTATATTTACCTTATCGAGCTTATTTATTCAATTTATTGCATATCTCTTACCCTTTACTTTCCTCGACTTTTACTTGGATCTCTAAGAATCCCGAGCTAAAATCAGTAGTAGCTCAAATGGATCATTTTATTATTGTACGAGCATTGTCCTTCTTGACCTTCTTCTATTTTTGAAGACAACAAGGTCGTTGAAGTAATGTTTGTCTACAGTGACGAGTCAATACGGGAAGTCAAAGTGTTGACCAGAAGAAAAGTGAACGGGTGACAAAGGAATAACATAGCTTTCACTGAAATATGACCCATAATATTTTGACTACGTGATTAAATGTTTAAATGTTTTGGGCTTCCCCAAAATGCCTCATAACAATAAAGATAGTATTTCTCTGCTAAACCCTTTTATCTTCTGCAAAAATAACTAATGTGAGACTCACTCCCAATAATCTTCAACCATCTTCCCCTTGAACAAAGTACCCTATAAGCCTCCTATGAGGCTTATGAAGCTCTCAAATAGCCTCTTTAATCGAGACTCGACTCATTTCTTTGGAGCCCTCGAACAAAGTACACCATTTATTCGACATTTTAGTCACTTTTGACTACACCTTCGAGACTCACAATTCTTTGTTCGATATTTGAGGATTCTATCGACATGCCTAAGTTCTGGGCATGACTCTGATACCAAATTGTTGAACACAACTCTCTGTAGAAAACACTAATCGAGAAGAGAATACAAGGCACACGGTAGAATACTACTACTTTTTATTGTTTAGATGAAAATCTAGTAGGGTGGAGGGGTATTTATTACCGTCACACTCTAGACCTAATAAATATAATTTTTTTCCCTAAAATATTACATCTCTCCTAAAATATCTCGGTATCTTTTTCTAGTCTCTACTAAAATAAACATCCAATGGACCAGTAAATGAGTGGGCTGACTAGTGATATATTTCAACAAATAATTTAATGAGTTATTAACTTTATACAAATACATTTAATAAAAGTGACAATTTGGTATAAACATGTTTTTTAATTATTTTAAATTAATTTAATATTTAATTTTATGTGGTTTTAATAATTTAAAAATAGGTATTAACGCAATTTACAAACAGGAGGGGTAAAGAAGTAATTTGAGAATTTGCAGCACGCCATTTAAATGAACGCAACTACCGAATTTATGATATTTACTCGTTATTTCTTGCTTCTTTCGTAGCTGTAGAGGTGATGTGCAAGAATTAGAACCCAAAAACGCCGCCCTCCGACGACGGTGGAACCTCCACAAAAGTCACGCCTCAACTCCGATCAGATCCGATTCCGATCGTATTCGGTGTTCTTCCACTTCCCGGAATTGATTGGAAGCAGAGTGAAAGAAATTACAGGCAGTTCAGAGGCCTATAAAGATGGTGGCCGACATACTTCTTCAAATTGCTCTCATCCTCGTAATGGTCGTCATGTTCTTGGCGATGCACAACATTCCACAGAGATTCTTTGCGAAGCTCCGGTTTCGTTTTCGTTCCGATGTCGAATCCAAACGCCACTTCGTGAGAGGCGCTCAGCTTCTCGCTCGAGCAAGATCTGCTCCGTCGCGCTCATCGGCGACGTCGTTGGCGGAACAAGTGGTAGCGGAAGCCGATAAGGCCATCGCTCTCGATCCTAAGGATGCCGCTGCTCACATCCTCAAGGCTTTGGCTCTCGATATTCAAGGATTCAAGACCTCTGCTCTTGAATCACTCGATACGGCTCTGTCGCCCCTCGCCGCTAAGTCGCTCAGCAACGAGGAGCGAGGCGACGCGTTGTACAAACGAGCTGAGTTGAAGATGTCCACGAATCGGCGAGCCGTAGTTGACTCGGCTATGGCTGACTTGACCGAGTCTGTGACGCTGAGTCAGAATGCGAATGCCTATTGTTGGTTGGGGAAATGCTATGAGATGAAGAAACTAAGAGGAGAAGCTAAGAAAGCATATGAAGAAGCGTTGAACATCGAGCCACGATTATCCAAAGCCCGGGAGGCATTGGAACGCCTATCAACATCGTGATGTAGCCGATGTCTTCCGTGGTCTGTGTGAGGTCAGCGCTGGAAGAACATCTCTCAAGTTAATCAGGTTTATCACTTCCATTCTCGTGCATTCCTGTTACCACTGATTGATCTCCTTTATTTATCTAATGATTGAGACGTTGAATTGGCTTCTGAGATGAAATTCTAGCTGCAATGCATTTTCAAAATAGATCTCCCTTCTCTGAAACTGATAGTTTATAGTTCGGGTTATGAACAAGCCTTTGAATTGGATCTATATTTTCTGCGGTTCTTAGTTGTAGGCGTTCTTCAATTCTTCGTTTCCTGGTCTTCGATGCAATGTCTGTTAATTCTTGTAAATGTTGAGATTTGAGCAAATCCAAAAAGGAAATTAACACGGCAAATGATCTTCAAAAGAAGAAATTCAAAAGTTCTCAGACGGTCATCTGATTCTATCATTCGCATTATTACAGAATTCCCACTTTATAAAATCTTTTCCAAATCCTGTCTGAAAGAAACAATTCGGGTTCGAGTGGTTCGGACTGTTCTGAAAAGATTGATCATCATAGTCGTTTCCCTTTAGCAAAAGTGCCTCTAATAATTCCTACAATTCAAGCTTCTTGTTGGAAAGGCAATCCTCAGCTCCAGCAGAGGAGTCTCCAGACAGGTAACAAGGGGCTGTTTGCAATCATTTGGAAAATATTTTGAAAATAGTTTTTTCTCTCCAAAATTAGTTCCAGTTCATATAAAATTGATTAAGTGGTACATTTATTCATCTTACTTTAACATTTGTGTCAAAGTAATTTTTTATACTTAGATACATAAATCTCTCATAAATTCAAAAGTTTCTAAAAATAATATTTGATATAAAATTATGTTAAGCTTTTAATTTTGTGGAAGGTAAAAATGTTTATTTTTATTTTTGATAATTCCATCATTGAAGGCGAGGAAAGAGACGAGAAATTTCACCCCAAACGCTTAGCCATGGCAATATCAATCAAAGCACGAATTCTTCTACGAGCTAATCTCACGACCCCTCTGATCATACAACATTTTAGCGTTTGGGTAAACGAACGCAATTGTTCTTGGATCCCAACTTTGCCACACATAGGTTGATGGTCAGAAGGATCAAATTTCATAACATCATCATAGGTTGCACTGTTATGGGTCGGCCACGATGAGCTTTAGTTCAGCCCATAACAATTACCCTATGACAATTACCTTCGACTGTAACGACTCAAGTCTATCGCTAGCAAATATTATCTTGTATTTGTCTTCTTTGAGCTTTCTCTTATGAACTTCCCCTCACGCGTCTGCTAGGGAGATGTTTCCACACTTTTATAAATAATCTCACGCTGTTAGGGAGATGTTTCTACACTTTTACAAATAATCTTTCATTTTCTTCCCCAACAAATGTGGAATCTCACATTGACCTAGACACTATTGTTCATGATAACAAGTCCCTTCAAACACGAATCTTCACCCATACAAGTCCCTTTCGGATGGTCAGCACCTTCGTCAAGCTTTTTGATTGGTCCAAGGTCGAGAGTTCCATTTTATGGTGACACTTGCATGCTTTATCAAATCTAGTCGTCGACTTTACCAATCGTGTGCACGTCCCTACTCAAGATAATAGTTTTAAGTATGTGCTCATGCCTAAAGCTCAAGATGAAATTTGGGTATACACCTGCTCTCTAGACACTAGTCTAAGTTTTCATTACCTCATTTGTCTCTCCAAACACCAACCTTCATTCATTTTTAGGTGCTTTCTTGCACTGTCCTTTTGTGTTATACTCTTGTGTTACTACTCTAATATCTCATCAAACGCTAAACAAAATGGGCCACAACATGCCTATTATACTCGAGGAAAGGTTGGGAGGTGCAATATGTGAGCCACCTGATAGACTACAAATTAAAACATATTTATCAATCAATAGATCAAAAGTTTGAATTTTCCGATAGTTTCAACTACATAAATTTTACTTATTTCACGAAAGTTTGTTTCTTTTTTTCATTTACGTGACAAGTCATATTCTGATAATAAATGTTTGTCCGAAAAACTAATTAATGGTTGGAACATAATTGTGAAAATAAATAAAAAAAACTAATGAGCATCTCAGCTATAAAAGGAAATACTTTCCTGCAATTTCATTTGTGCAGAAAGATGCCATTTGGCAATCCAAGTCATCAATGAACGAGTCCAATCACGTGAACTCCGAGGAGGGAAATAGAAGCAAAGCTCTATACAATTTCCTGTTCCATCAACAAGTTGAACCGTATAATTTGCATCTGAATGAATGTGAAAGTACAGAAGTGAAAGTAAAACCTGAGAAGCTTCACGTGTATTGCTCAGGAGAAACTGCCAAACCAAATCAGCGACACAGTCAGTCTGTCACAAAATGGCCTACACGCTTCGCTTGCTTCACCCAAAATATGTTATGTTCAAATCTATATAGAGATTAGCCTACTACACTACCCTGAGCTTTAACGACATATCCAATTGCAGTATTCATGCCGGGGAACTGGTTTCTGGTTACAGAAGATCTCATCCATGAAGGTGTGGCTTAGTTGTCCTGCCAAGCTTGGTGGGTCGTCGATCAAAGCGTCGATAAAAGCACTAACAACTCTTCGGTCTTTCACTGATGCTTTCAAGCTGAACCAAGTTAGGAACTTCACTCGAAAATCTACGTCAATGTGGCCTTCATGCTCTAGCCATTTCACCATTCTAACAGAATAATCATAGTCGGACTCTTCAGTTCGCCTTGTGCAGTTAAAACCGAGCATGATGCGGGTTTCGGTTAATTTACAAGGTGTTGAAGGACAAACTGATATCGATTTCATCGAAGTGATTGAGTTCTTTAGAGAGGGATATTTGTAAAGCTTCCTCTTGTCAAGTCCATCCAATGAGTGAAGATTAATCAGGTTGTTTTTCGAATCCACCTGAGAATGAAGTAGATTAGTGTTCTTAATTTCTCCATTTCTATGCTTCTCCAAAGCTGGACGCGGCGTCGATAATTTCGGCGTGACCCATTTGGCTTCCCAGACACCAAAAACTTGTGTGCTACTAAATAAAGAGACCTTGCAGTGGTACTCGGTTGAAGGGGAAAGATCAGTGATCTTAAAGTTTTTTTCTGGCTTCAATGCAATGAAAGATGGCTGGTCTGGATAATCCTCCATGTTAGCTTTACGATACCAAAGCCTGCAGCCTAAGAAGTCTCTTAACATGTGATCATCATATCGGAGCACGACCATCACAGAGGTAGGTGAAGAATCTTCAAATAGGATCTCGCAATCTGTCGAGGCAAATTGCAATAAACGGTGAAAAAAACATTTCCTAATGAAATTACTCACATTAATCAAGTACCAAGTATGTCCAAGTAATCATGCAAATTAACATTGAAATTAAGCATCACATCCTAATCAAATTTGACTTCAATCAATTTTAAAGAACAAAGAATATCAATTCACACTTCAAATTTCTGAAAAAGGTGAGATACGTACCCAATTTTTCTCTTTTTTGCATACCATCCACGCAAGGGACACAACACATGGAATCAAAGGCCTCCACAGCAGAAGCACACAGTTTCTGAACCTCCGCACCACAGGATAGCCGGTTGACAATGCCTCTTGCCATTCTCAAGCAAACCTCATCTAAGGGTCCCACTTCATTTGTCATCATATTCATGGCGAACTCTACTGTCTTGTGCACTTCTTTGTATAGATTTGTCCCTACAAGAATCTTGTGACACAAGGATAGCCTTAGACATAATGCATCCACTCTTCTGGCCTCCTTTGCATTTACCAGTTGTCTTCTCCAACTTCTGAAATCAGCAACTTTCTAATCAGTTGATAAACTAACCCAAATATAGATATAATTAGCTCACAAAGTGGCTAGCGAATCGACAAGAATAATTCGGTTTCTTTATATATTAGATTTAGTTTATATAGAGCCTGCATGTTGGATTTCTATTATATTGATTTGGTTGTTCTTTATGTCATGTTCGGAGGATGCATCCAAGTCAATCAATAATTCAGTTACAAAAGGCTAACTTCGGAGAAAAAGAGAGCAAACTATGGCATACCCCATCAATCCATTGATCTTTCCACATGAAACGCAGTAAAAACTTCCATCTAATTTTTCACAGAGACCATTCTTCACAATTCCAGTCCTTTCATGCTTCAGGGCACACTCCAAATGACATGACATTCCACAAGAATCGTTCTCATTAGAAGGGTCAGAGCCACAGGTCAGCCAAAGACTTGGATCCTTGTTATCATCGTAACAATGGCAAATGCAACATGAACATCTCTTGCAAAAAGCAAACTCTGGATTTAGAGGTGCTTTGCAAGCCACATTCCGACAAAGTTTGACTTCAGCACTTTCCTCATCAGTCTCCATGGAAGTATTATTCGAATCCAAGAGTTGAATAGATGTTCGGTTCGTGTTTCGAGGTCTCTTGTGGCCAGTTTGAGTTTTGTCTAGTAAAGATGCATGAGTATTACTTCTGTCGGATTTCTGAGAGACCAGCTTCAAAAGGTACTCGATCATTTGAGATTTTGAATATCCAGTGTTCTTCATTTCTTTCCCCATTTCAGCACAGATGATCTCAAGTAAATCACTTCGAGTAAGAGACCTAAGGATTTCAGGTGCGGCTTTGGACTTTCGGGCAATCTCATGGATTATTTCCTTTTTCTTTTCCATACTAATCTTGCTGCCGCATTTCCCAGAGTCAAGACCATAACCTGAAACAAAAGCATGGCTCATGCGTTCACTGAGAATGTACATTCGACCAAGCACACAGCAGCAGAAGTGAAGAACAAAATCAGGCAAACAAATAACAAATTACATCCACCAAAATAATCGTGCAATGCAATGGCCAACGATAAAGATGATCCAAAAGAAAATACTCCACTACAAAAACAATGTCGATAAACAGCCACATTGAACATGGAGGTACTGTTTGGGAGGAAGCAAAAAAAAAAAAAAACAAAAAAAACAAAAAAAAACAAAACAAAACAAAAATCCAAAAGCCAGACGTGAATGACATCGTCCAAGAACGTGCAAAGACATTGATACAGCAGAGCGCTTAAATGCAAAGACGAACATCCATCAACCTCCTTATGAAGAAAAAAAACCAAAAAACAAAACTGTAAACTGAGAACTTACCCGCAAACGCTGGATCTAAACCGGAAAACCTCTCCTCTGGTTCGCTCATTGTACAGAATAATACGAAGAAACACAAAATTAGAAAAGGAAACACAAAAATTGCGTATAGTTTGCACGATTAACAGGTCTCCAATGGCGAAGAACAGAAAATGAATACAAGATAAAGTTCTTCTAAGCACAACGAACGGAGACGGACAATTACAGAGAGAGAGAGATAGTGGAAAACTGAAAGCGAGAGAGAGAGAGAGAAAGAGAGAGAGAGGGTGAAAAAGGAAAGGAGAGAGAAGAATCAGGGTGGAAAATAAAATAAAATAAAATAAAATAAATAAATGAGTGAAGTTTATGAACTAACAAATATGAATTGCCATTAATGTACAAATGCGAGAGTTGGTCTATGCATACCATAGAAATGCCCAAAATAACCCTTTTTTTTTTTTTTATATCTTCCTAATATATTACTAGCAGATATTGTCTTGTTTAGACCTTCATTCTCGAGATTCTCCTTAAGATTTTTAAAACGCGTCTACTAAGGAGAAGTTTTCACACCCTTACAAATAATGCTCATTTCTGCTTCAACCGATGTGGGTTCTGACACTCCAGGTGGTTGACGCTCTCGGCTCTTCGATGCAAGCCTTCGCCTTTCAACGCAGTGTCCTCAATATCAAAAAAGAGGCAAAGCTGCTTTGTCGACTGAAAGAAGGAAAGATGTGAAGTTACTTTACCGAGGGGAAAAAACAAAGTTAGCTTAATTGCCCTTATTCGAAAATAAGGGACATAACATACCTCTATTTTCTAAAAATAATATTATCAATTTTTATAAAAGGGTAAAAATGACAATTCATCTTTCCATATAAATTAATATATAGTTATCAATTTTTATAAAAGGGTAAAAATGACAATTCATCTTTCCATATAAATTAATATATAGAAATATGGATGACATTCCATAAAACTTCAATACCTTACGGAATAAAAGGAGAATGAAAAAATTTAAATTAATTTTGGCGCGTGAAAAACACGCGCTTGGTGGTACGATTTGACTTGCTCGAGAATTTCGGCTTCAGTTTCCTTTTTGTTTTATTTATTTATTTTGTTTCAGGCGGGGAACAATCGAATCTGATCACAAAGCCTTTTGGCTGGGCCGCGAAGGAGACGAACTTTTTTTCTCAGGGAGCGAATGCTATGGTGCGGTATTCCACATGGTTGATTTCGTGTGGGCCAGCGAATCAACGCGCTACATTTAAGATCGGACAGTCGAAATGCGTGGTTGGGAGTGGGCCCCACTTGTAGGTAACAAATTGCAACTTTCCATGCAAATATATTCAGGGTCCATATATGGGCATTTAGGTCGTTTCTTAGGTGGATGCAGTTACCCAGCAGCCATTCAATGGCTCCTATATGATTTTTCTTTTATTTAAAAAATAAAAAATGACAATTTCCAAGTCATTAAACGTCTAGATTTTAATATATATATATATATATATATTTAAAGCAAAAAGTAAAAAATAAAGTTCATTTAAATTTTGAATTAATTGTGTTTTTATTTTTTTAAAAAAAATTGGATATAGCTCGGACTTTTGAGGTTGACTTTCAACCTTTCAGACGGATTTCCAGGAGGGTTGACTCGAATCCATGTTAGGCGTTGACTCTAAGGTGATGGTGCATAATCTCTATGTTGGTAATTGTGAAATCTCATCTCGATTTTGAAAGGAGGAACAAAATATTCTTTTGCAAATGTGTGAAAACCTCTCCATAGTGGACGCGTTTTAAAATATTGGGGGAAGCATGAAAGGAAAAGTCAAAAGACAATATCTGTACGGTTATAAATGGTATTAGAGTCAGCCACGATGCGGTATGCTAACAAAGACGTTGGGTTTTGAAGGGGTGAATTGTGAGATCCCACATCAGTTGAGGACATTTTTTATACGAGTGTTGAAACCTTTTCCTAGTAGACGCATTTTAAAAATCTTGAGGAGGAAGCTCGGAAGGAAAAACACAAAAGAAGATAATATATGCTAGTGATGTACTTTAACTACTACAAATAGCCAACACATGAGCCCTAAAAGAGGGTGGATTGTGAGATCCTACATCGGTTGAGGAGGAAAACAAAATATTATTTATAAGGGTGTGGAAACCTTCTCCTAGTAGCTTTGAGGATAAGCTCCGAAGGGAAAGTCTGAAAAGACAATTTCTACTAGCGGTGAGATTGAAGTGATGTCACGATATGCCAAACACAATGTTTTGAGTCAATTTAAAAAAAAAATATATATATTATTATTGTTATTTTAATTAATATTTAATCATGCTTATTTTGAAAAGAAAAAAAAAAACAAAAAGAAAAAGGCGGGTATTTTATATATAATATATATATAATTTAACCCTAAGAAATTATAAGGTCGCTGATTTTCAACCCACCAATATTCGGGGGCATATTTCGTAAATTCCGCCACCATTTAGGATCTCTTTATGTTCTTCACAGTTCACTGTCCTTTCGTCCTTCTCTCTTTTCTGTGGAGTCCCCAAACGCAACCAAGGCTCTACACTGTAACTATACACTTCGCGCGACATTTCCACATTCGATCCTCTCTTCTTCCTTTTTCTCTTCTGGTCGGCCTCGATTCCTCTGTGTTCTATCAATTCTCTTTCAGACCGTTCCTTTTTTTTTTTTTCTTCTCAATTTCTGCAATGTGCTTCAAACACCCTTGATTTTGTTTCTGCCAGAGTTAATGTACGGACGTCCTCAACCCTTGACCGTAGGCGACCAGATCGCCTCCGTCCCTGACTGTGGCGACGGCGGCGAGCCCTTGGATAATCGCCTTGTTCGATATGGAGCTCACGCTCTTGAAGACGGCGCTGGAGTAGGCGGTATGATTGAGGATCTCAACCCTGATGCCGTTTATGCTTCCGCCGGTGATGGTTCAGACATGGCTATTCAACGCAGCGATGGTTCAAGCCAGCTCACACTTTCATTCCGTGGTCAAGTGTATCTATTCGATGCGGTTTCTCCTGAGAAGGTACCGTGTTAATGAGATTTAGGGTTTTAGTTATCGACATTTTTCTTCTGGATATTCTGAAGTTTTTGTAATGGAGTCGATATTTCTTGAACTTGGAGTACATTGAGTTCGATACTTTTTGATTCCGTTTTTTCTTCAACTTCTATGGCGGCTACAAGGGGTTGGAGAATCGAGCCGGAGGTTGGTTAATTTTAAGATTTTAACATGTCGTATCCTTTGTAGGTTCAAGCAGTGTTATTATTGTTGGGTGGTAGCGAACTATCTTCTGGTCAGCAAAGCGTGGATTTGGTAACTCAGAGTCAGAGGGTACTGCTGGAAACTTGCATCCCATTCCTTTAGGAGAAATTTTGTTTTTCGTCTTGATTTTGTTTCCTTTCACATTTTCTAGAATGCTGTGGACTTCCCCGGACGTAGTGGTCAACCGCAGAGGGCAGCATCGTTAAATCGGTTTAGGCAGAAAAGGAAGGAGCGATGTTTTGACAAAAAAGTCCGATATGGTGTCCGTCAGGAGGTTGCTTTCAGGTTTGGCGATGAACTTGTTAAGTTACTGGCTGTATTTTGTTTTCCCCGTTGCATATTCTTTGATTTCGATTTTCTATGTGTCTCTCAGTTCCACTTAGGTGTAACCTGTGAGATCCCATATCGGTTAGGGAGGAGAACGAAACATTATTTATAAGGGTGTGGAAACCTCTCTTTAGCAGACGCAATTTAAAAACTTTGGGGGGAATCCCGAAAGAAAAGGTCCAGAGAGGACAATATCTACTAGCGGTGAGTTTGGGTCGATACAAATGGTATCAAAGCCAGACACCGGACGATGTGCCAACAAGGACTCTGGCCCCAAAGGGGGGTGGATTGTGAGATCCCACATCGGTTGGAGAGGAGAACGAAGCATTCTTTATAATGGTGTGGAAGCCTATCCCTAAATGCGTTTTAAAAACCTTGAGGGGAAGCCTGAAAAGAAAAGCCCCAAGAGGACAATATCTGTTAGCTGGGGGCTTAGGCGGTTAGATAACCCTTATGTTTATTTTACCGCAACTTCATGCATTAGAAGTTTTAGTTCGTGCATGTTGTGTGTTCTCTAAGCTTTTGCTTTCGAAAGAGCTTTGGGTTTTTGATCTCTTACTTAAGTTGTCCAAACAATTGCAGGATGCAGCGCAACAAGGGACAGTTTACTTCTTCCAAGAAGCCTGATGGTTCGTATAGCCATGGTAGTGTCTCAGAGCAAGGTCAAGAAGAAAGTCCACTAGAAACTTTGTGAGTTTTCATGGTCTCATAAATTATAGCAATCTGAAACAATTGTTTCAGCACTAAGATGTTTTCTCTAGAATTCAACATTATAGCAATCGTATTCTCATCCTTGCAATTTTGTGCTTTCTCTAGATGCACAAATTGTGGCACAAGTTCAATGGCTACCCCAATGATGCGGCGAGGACCATCTGGTCCTAGATCACTTTGCAATGCCTGTGGACTTTTTTGGGCAAACAGGGTTAGTATGCTCCTGAAAAGTTGATTATTTTGCACTATTAATTATATTTTAAGGTAAGCTTTATTTTCCCTAGATTGTCTGGCTGATGGATATGCCAGACCTTTGCAAGGGACTTTTTGGCTTTTATTATGTAAGATGTGTCATCTATATGCTATTTCATACTTGTATGAAATTTTTTGTTATTGATATCTTGTTTGATTGGATGTTTTGAGTTAAGATTTACAATTTTTATGGATCTCTGTATGGGGAACAATGATTCTAGCTGCACTTGGAACGAGTGGGAACAGAAAAAAATTGATGATACACACAGTGTCTAGGTTAGTTTGGGTCTTTTTAGTACTGTTGACGTGATTAACAATTTTTACGGTAAACCACTCTGACCAGCATGTGCATTTTCTTTCGTTAGTCTAACTCGATTTTTCTGTGTCTCTACTACCTAGCTGACTACCTCATATATCTCTTCCTTTGTCCTTTGTTATTTTCTTTTGCTGCTTCATGATGCAGTGTAATCAGGAGTAGTTTGGTAATTTTCATCTGAGTTGATCATTTTATTTTTGTAGTCAGTTGGTTAGTTTATTTGAGTTATTGGGCTTTCACTTGTCTACAAGTAGAGACCATGTCATCAATACGGATTTAGTTTCATTAATAGGGATTTAGTTGAGATTTCTTTCAGATACTTCTCCTTTGATTCTTGGTTTTGGTTGCATCACCTCCCTTGATCGTTGTTTAGATTTTCTTGTTCACTAATTGTATTTCGCTCTCTATCCATGTTTTCCCCTTTTTTTTCCGTCTTTGTTGCTTTATTTACCGTTCATCTTGTCCGTGCATTTTCTTTAGACGTTCCCTCTTAAACTTGGTTAAGTTCTTGAAATTCGTTTCTTCCCTGGTCCTACCATTCCCTTTATATCCCAAATCTTGTGGAAGGGATGCCCAACTCCACTTCATTAAGTGACTTTCATCCTCGAATCCTGCATTTTCCCAATGCTTTTTTTTTTATTTCCTTGCAACTTTTTACATTCTTTGTGAACAAGTGTAAATTGTGGTTGGACGGTTACACAATTTTTTTTTACCGAGGTTTATTGTCCCATCCAGGCATCTTCTCAACTATGCACAAAAAATTTGTTCGTTTCCTCTTTAAATCTTTAATGTTTACTGGTTAAAAAAGATAGAATGAAATTAATGGACAGACTGGAGGCATATTGTAATACATTGGTATGTTTCTTACGACTGTACAACTTTCTCTTCTTCTGGCGCACATTTTTCTGGAGACAAGTTAGATGTATATACTGTGTTCACCAACACCGAATCCATCACCCATCAATCACCTAATCCGTCAACCATCAACCACCAAGGTAAAGAGAAAGGGGGAGCTTTGATTGAGGCTTTGGGAAGGTCTGTTTAATTGAGCCCGGGAAGCCAACATCTTGCCCGTTGGTCTTCCCATTCGCAAATATAAAGAAATTGTTGAGATATACAGCTATAAGTCCAATCCAAGTTTCTTCCCTTGGCCCTTACACATTATTTCGTGTAGTGCCAACCTACTTTCTCATAGGTTATTGTAGGCGCCCTAAATTTGTGTCTTTGATAAAGCACAATTACCTGTTGTTGATCATGGAAGGAAGCCATTTCTTTTATATTTCGTCACCAACCTTTCGTCAATCAACCCTTCATTTGTCCTACTCACAAACCTTTTTTTAGGATTAAACAATGTGTTTTATGGGTGCATCTTTCAACGATTGCCTTCTCAAAAAAATCTAACCCCTCGAGCACTTCTATCTTATGGTACTTCAATCTTTTTTAAGAACTCTGGAGTGAACCCCAATTTCAGGCTATTTATGTATTTACCACAGCCCATATCTCTTTTCAAAGGGCCTCTCTAGCCAAAATTTCCAGCATTTACTTGAATGGTTTCCGCGGCTAGTTTGAGCATTGGATCCATGGTGACCAACTATCTATAGGATTTAATGTCCTACCAGTTATCTTGACAACCAAATATTAACAGGGTTAAGTGGTTGTATTGTGAGAATAGTCTAGGCGTGTGCATGTTGTCCTAGATACTCCTATATAAACAATAATAATAATGGTGTCCCTCCTTCAGTCAGAACTGTCAGCATTTCTGATTTTATACTGGATTATTAAGAGTTAGAACCTATTCAAACCGAGTATATTTGGTTTGACACTGCAGTGGTTTCTTAACAACTGCTGATTGATCTGGGCAGGCACAAAACTTGGGTATGAAAAGTGCAGTGGTTTCTTAACTACTGCTCTTGTGCATGTACTATCGTAAGCAGACATGTGCGTATTTACTGTGTGTGACAACATGCTTACCTATGAATACACTTTATGATTATTGGTATTGCCTTATGGCCTTACCAAAATACATTAATACATACGTGTACAAATTTATATACTTATTTTGAGGACATATCCTTATCAACATGAATATGTATGTCGTGTCAAATTGCTACTTCAATGGTGCAGTCAGTGATTGAGGATTGTTTTAATATCTGATTCTTGTTCCCTTTCACAGTTTGAGTTAAGCATCGTTATTGCTAAAAATTCATTGTTCTCTTGAACGTTGCAGGGCACTTTAAGGGATCTCTCGAAGAGAAGTCAGGACCATCGGGTGACTCCGGCCGGGCAGGTATATGCCTGTCGTAGAGTTGTTTCTTCTTGTCTTTGTTTTAGTTTCTTGAGAACTCACTCTGTGTGAGATCGATCCCACATTGGTTGGAGAGAGAAACAAAACATTCCTTATAAGGGTGTGGAAACCTCTCCCTAGTAGACGCGTTTTAAAATCTTGAGGCTGCTTGCGATACGTAGTTGGCCAAAGTGGACAATGTCTGCTAGACAGTGAGGGCTCTGAGGAGTGGATTATAAGATCCCACGTTGGTTAGAAAGGGGAACAAAACATTCGTTATAAGGGTGTGGAAACCTCTCACTAGCAGACGCGTTATAAAACCGTGAGGTTGACAGCGATACGTAACGAGCTAAAACAAACAATATCTGCTAGCGGTGGTCTTGAGCGTTTACACTCTTGGTTTGAGTTTGTATATATGTATTACTCCATATTCCAATTCAACTAATTTCCTTGATTTTAGTTTGAAAGTGATGCTGCTGCTGCTGCTGCTGTCAAAGAAGACTTGGACTGCAGACAGGGTACCCATGCACACAGCGATCTCGTTTCTTTCTCAAACGGTGATAACTCCGCTTTGATGGCTGAGCATTAAAATTACGTTTGGTTACAGAAAAAAAGGCCATGATGATGCCTGTTTCTGGCTTTTTTTCATTCATTCCGGCCCTCGTTTTGGTAATTTACAGAAAACCAGGGTTGTAGAATGTACAGATATAGCAATGCTTTCTATTGAAATACGAGAAACAGATGGTCTCCTCATTATGTCACCTTGATACCTACACTTATGAACTACTACCAGTTGCTCTTCTTTTTCTTTTTACATTCTTTTTTCAATTATGTTTCCTTTAGAGTACTAATTTATTAGTTACACAATTAATTTGTTTTAGGCTTCAATTTAAATACAATATATAGTTATAAATCTTTGCTAATAAAAATATATTTGACCTAGGTTTAAGTTTAGGTTTCACTATCTCTTTTCTTGAACTCGGTAAATAGGTGTTTGTTTGGTTCTTTCTCCTTCACCTCGGTCGTCTCCTTCTCCCCTCTCCTTGTCCCATTGATTGATTGAGGGGCAAGGACAAAGGTTAGTTGGCATCTTGCCGTTAGTGTTCCGATCCACTTAACTAGCAAACACGACGATCCAGTTACTAGTAAAGACGACAGTCTTGAAACAATTCTTGATTAGTCAGGCCCTGTATGAGATTGAATCATTTCCTGCAATTCAAAAGAAAAGGACAGTGAAAGTTGCTCAAATCTTTTTGGTCTAAAAGTGTCTAGATAAGACCAATCTCATCTATGCTATATACTCGTCTATTGAGAGCTATGCTACTATGCATCCTATGTAATTTGGTCTTACATCGACCATGATATGAAAATTTACATCAGGTGATTCTTTAATCTCGATCAATAACCTGTCAAAACCTTAGACTCATATAGGTTTTGTTCCGTATCATCCTCAATAGTAGTTAATCACTATTTTTCTTAAACCAATAAATCAAAACATGCCGAGTTAGGTAACTTTAGTTTTTTTTTCCTAAAATCTTATGGGTCACGTGAATTTTACGTAAATATTAAAACTATAGTATTAGCGATAGTATTTTTTTTTTTTTTTTTTTTTTAAGATAAGCAAGAATAAGTAGAGTGGGCTAAAAATGGGAGAGTATTTATGAGAAATAGGGAGCGAAGATTTAAGAATTTAGAATATTAATAATATTACGAATTTCTCTCGAAAGTGAAATAGGCAAAATCGAGTCAACGAGAACCAAACATAGTAAGGTCGTTATTTATCAAAAAGTGGGGCCCACTTGTATATCCTAAATAATTTCAGACATTATCCCACGACTTTATTGGCTGCTACCAGCCGTTGGATCTGATGATAAAAGTACAGTCCTTCACCCGCTAACTCATCTAAACCGTTAACTCATGTGGGTCCCTTTTTACATCAGATTTCTTTTTCAAACAAACGGCTGAAGACGAGGGCGCCATGAACGTCGTATACATTGCGTCGCAGAGTATAATACCCTAGTATTTATATTAAAAACTCGAAAAATCTCCGTCGCCGTCATTAATTTTTGTTATGATTATTTTTTGAAAAGAAAATAAAGGCTGAAAATTAAAAAAATTACCCATTTGAGTCTCTCCAAGGAAATACAAGGGCACATCCTGCAATTCCTTTAACCATTTCTGGTAGTTCTTTATTTTTTGTTTGAATTTTTCTATCTTCTTGGATTCTGAAGCTTATTCGAGCTCGAATTTTCGATTGATTCTGGGTTTTCGAAATTTCGTGGAATTGTTCATCTTTGCCTCATGAAGCTGGTTGATGGTTAGGGCTTCATTTCTGGTGCAGTTAGGGCTTTCGACAAATTCATGGCGGCTGCTAATCCTCAGCCTTTGCAAGCGCGTCCTTTCCAGGAACATGTCCAAGTTCCTTCAATGATGGGGGACGACGACGGTGAATATGAAGATGGTGGTGGTGGTGGTGGTGGCGGCGGCGGCGGCGGCGGCGGCGACGTTATGGATGATGTCGAAGAGGCTCGTATGACTTCAGTGAGCGTCGCGAACCTTGGGGGGTTGGTTATGGCGTCTAGAACTAGTGAACTTACGCTTTCTTTCGAGGGCGAGGTTTATGTGTTCCCTGCAGTTACTCCCGAAAAGGTATTCGTCTGTTATCAAAATAAGCATATGCTCCTATTCTCGTAGTTATGTTTAATTTGAACTAGCTGGAGTTGCTGAGACTTTCATGAACCTAACTGGGTGTCTTTTTGCTACTCTGAGTGCCTGAATTTTTTCAAAACAAGCTATGGTAGCCAAGAACAGAGCTTAGGACGTCATCATCTGGAGTTGGAATGGAATGGAGTTTTTTTTTTTTCTGAAAGAAAAATGATAGTGAGAGAGAGATAGATAGTTTGGGTAGACATCCATTACTACGTTTGTTCAAATTTTCTGACTGATAGAACATTCGTACTTATTTCAAAGGGTATATCGTACAATCAATCGCAGATATCAGAATTTTGTTTATCTGTCCTTTCCTGGTCATGTCAAGTTTTTTCTACATTGGGTTACAATGCGATGAAGTAAAAGCTAAAGCAGTAACCACGTTGGCAAGAAGTTAGTTCTGTGAAAAAAAGAAAAAAAAAAGCAAAGAAGAATGGCAATGAAAGCAACTTTTGAAGGAACAGTTAGAACATACAATAGAAATGAAGGCAGAAACTTTTTCTTGTTTTGTCAAGCGATGATATTGGGCATGTGGTTAAATGATGGTGAATTGGCATATTGTTGTTTGCTAGAAAATTTTGAAGTATAAATATTTTGACTGTATGGGGATAATAATCCATTATAGTTTTGAAATGTGTTAACTTTGGATGAGTTACCTGGTTTTGATGTCACAGGTGCAAGCCGTGCTCTTACTTCTTGGAGGGCGTGACGTACCAACCAGTGTACCCACAATGGAAGTACCATATGATCATATTAACAGGGTAATGCTAATCATGGAAATTTTACTTCATATTATGTGGTTATATTCATATATTAGATCTTGCCTACCATCTTCAGGGTATGGTTGACACCCCAAAGCGCTCCAACTTATCACGGAGAATAGCCTCCCTGGTTAGATTTCGTGAAAAACGGAAAGAGAGATGTTTTGACAAGAAAATTAGGTACACCGTACGGAAAGAGGTTGCACAGAGGTAAGATGACTTGGGCTACTATGGCATGGAATCAAAATCTTAGTGAGAAATTTGTACTTTGCACAGTACTTTATAGTTGTTCCCATCCTCTTTTTCTCTCATCGTTCGGTACAAGATGCTTACGGGATATAGTTTACAAAATTCTAGGTCTCAACTGAGGGATATAGCGTGTTAGATAATACACTATCTATATTTATTCTGGTGAATTTTTGCATCCAATATTTGTGATCCAGATTGGGGTGTGAACATGTCCCCTATTTGGTAGCATTGAAATGTCTATCTTGGACTTTGTTCTGCTGCTGTTAGAATAGAATCTCTCATTGGACCGAACTTGATGATTATAATGTAACTTTCCTATACAGAAATTTATGTACTCTAATTAAAACTAGGGTATGCGTGACAACCTTCTTTCTTTTCAAGAAACTAATGTTACTCTGATCTTTTGGGAAATAAAAGAAAATCTCACCTCTGGTGAAACAGTTTTAATAGCCATGCACATTTAATTATTATTATTATTTTTCATCTTTGTTCTAGGATGCACCGTAAGAATGGCCAGTTTGCATCCTTAAAAGAAAGTTCAGGTGCTTCAAGTTGGGAGTCAGCACATAGTTGCCTCCAAGATGGTACTCGTTCAGAAACTGTGTGAGTTCATGTTTTAGTCTGTTATCACTGAGTATGAAATTGTTTTTCAACGATATATTGTTTGGATGTATGTATATATATATATATACCTTCATTAATATTTCTTGTTTCTAAAATATTTTTCAGTTTGCGGAAATGTCAACATTGTGGTGTTAGTGAGAACAATACACCTGCAATGCGTCGTGGCCCTGCTGGACCAAGAACTTTATGCAATGCATGTGGTTTGATGTGGGCAAACAAGGTTTATATTACACATTTCTAACTTAGATGTCCACTTACATCTGTGAATATATTTTCCTTTCTTTTCCTTTTATTATTATTTTTTAAAGGAGCATTTATTTATGCTAACAGAACAAAAATAGAGAAAACCGTGTGCCAAGAAATTTACAAATGTTTTTTCACTAGTGCAGTAGAGATATTGCTGTAATAACCGAGAGGCTTCTATTGTTTTCACCAAGAATCAATGGCAAAAAAATACTCCTCAAAAGAATTCAAAAGGTTGCCCAACAAGAGATCCCACGAGAATTCCTTGATCTTCTCATATATCTTCCTTCCCAAATCACCTCACAGAGATGAAAATCAATGATAACATCACTCTTCTGTGAGATCTAGGAAAATATTTTCGGTTAAAGATCTGTTTCGATGCCCATATCCGTTTATCTTCCGTGGGGCAAGGAGATTTCCAGCTAGCATAGAAGGGGATAGCTGTGCTTGGAGTGCATCTGTTATGCAGATTCTGTCGTGATTTAGGTTGCTAGTTGGGTCCCGATCTGATTTATAGTGGGGTATTACTGTTAAGAAACACTCTAAAGTCCTGGAAAGGGTCGTAGGGCCACTAAGAAAGGGAGAATTGCCCTTCAAAGATTTTTCTAAGTTTGACATTAGATCCATTTTCAACACCAAAGGAAACATGATCAGAATTAAAATTTTAAAGCTTATGTTTTTTACTTTGCTCCGTTGAACCAAATGAAAAACCCATTCGTGAAGAGCAGCCTCTCAAAAGAAGTTGCTCGTTGTTATTTCCAAACAATATTCCTGTCTGAAGACTGAAAAGAAGGTAGTTTTATAAAAATCATGAAGGTGGCAGGGTTATATCCAAGAATACTTTATGGATTTAAAATCTTTATATATTCTATTTCTTCATGCAGTCTTTATTGGCCTTTATCTTCTGCAACATTTTCTTTAGCCTTAATTCATTTTTTTTTACCGGCTTATTTTTTTACAGGGCACGTTGAGAGATCTCAGCAAGGGAGGGAGAAACGTGTCTGTGGATCACACGGAACCTGTATGTGATATAAAAGAAATCACTGTTTTTCATTACTTTTTGAAAATTACTTTTTTAGTTTTCAAAACTTAGCTTGGTTTTTGAAAACATATGTAAAAAGTAGATAACAAAACAAAGAAACCCATAAACCTATAGGTGGTAGTAGTATTTATGAGCTTAATTTTCAAAACCAAAAACCAAATCAAAAGGGTTATGAAATGGGGTTTTGGTGATTGAAATCTTACATTTTACCACTAGTTTGTCTTTGATTCATAGAAAGCTTGGATGCTGTTATTCCATTGATTTAGTTTGTCTTCAATTGATTTGCAGGAAACCCCAATGGATGTCAAACCCACAATCATGGAGGGAGAATTTTCGGGCATCCCGGATGAACATGTACTACTCTATTTTTCTCTCCATTACAAATACTCCTTCCATTTGGCTAGCTTGTGTTATCTGCAAGCCAATGCACATACAATATGCATGCAGGGAACTCCCGAGGATCCTGGTAAAACTATGACTGAAGGCTCGAGTAATCCTTCTGTTGACCTTGATGAGGAGGAAGTATGCCCATATCTCAATCGATTTTAAGCCTCTTGACTTTTATATGACTTTTTTTTTTATTACCTGCATTTGAAAGTTTCTGTTGGATCTTTATCTACCCCTGTTTTCTCTTGCCTTGGAGTAGTTAACTCTGCCCATTCACCCTAAATATCAAACTCCCATTATGAAAATCATCACTTCCACCCAGTTACTCGTGTTGATACTGTACTCTTTATCGATAAAGGTGCTTGTCAGATGTATTTCTTCTCTTCACATGAAAAAGCTTATCTTTGATTTGTATTTTATTATATTATTCACCCTATTGTGTACTTTCATAAGCCATTTTTCGTTCCGTTTGCTCCTTGCTTTTATTGATCGAGCGTTCAATTCAACCTGCTGATGTTCTATGCACCATTCTGCGCATTTGCTATTTTTGAAGCTTGGCAGTATCAGTGGTTACCCTCAGAATTTTGTTTTTGTAATGTTTTTGAAGACTCCGGAGATGAAAACAAAATAAAACCTTGAGCACTTAGCTTCATACTTGACGAGAAAAGTGTGCAACTCCGAAGTAACTTGATGTTCCTTGTGGTGCAGGACATAAATGAAACCACTGGTGGCCAAACAAATTCGTTGCCCATGCAAATTGTCAATGATTCAACAAATGATGATGAGCAGGTATTGCTTATTTTTGTTTTGAAGGATAAATACAATGAATTATCTTTCATTTTAATTCCTTGCAAGTCTAGCGCTTTGGATATCTCATCCAGGTTGCTTTGATATCTGGAATTGAACATATTTTGTCATGCTGTATAAATTCTCTACATCACATTAAACCATTCATCATACGTTAAGAAAACAACATATGGGTTATGTCAAAATAATAACCTGAAAAGAAGTTTAATTATGACCTATATAGCCCTTAAAAGAAAGGAATTCAAACTATTGCAGAAACTACTGCTTTAAACAATTTCATGTGAAGGAACATGGTTTCAATATGCCCAACAAACTCAAAATCTTTTAGAATTCTGAACCAAAGGAACTAAGCATTTATATCAATAGTTGATTAATTGGATCACCACATCTATAATAATCCATAAAGATGGAGCGAGAGCTACTACACAAGATTAACATTTTTTGTTCTGATGCAAAGTAATACTTATCATAATAGTCTGATACTAAACCTATCTTAAACACCATTGTTGCCCCACTTGCCTTTCATTTCATAGGACAATGTTACTTGAGGCCTTTAACAGAGGTACAGTAATCAAATAAATATGCTCCAAGGCGCTCAGGTGACCTTTATGTTTAGATGCTAAAATTCTTGCAAGCCCTGAATTGAAACTTAGTTATAAGTTGTTGGTACTATTATTTGTTGTGCTCCAATGATTCCTCAAGGAGATTACTTGTATGAACCATCTGATGGCCGCCAAGCCAATTGTCAACCTCATATTTTTTTAGATTTGGTGTTGATAGATTGTAAATTCAGTTAAGTGATGTGAATTTGCTGCATTTAATATTGTTTGGGTTGATATTCAATTACTTATACTAGTTTTTATCTTCAGGAACCTCTTATTGAACTTGCTAATCCTTCGGATACCGATATAGACATCCCCACTAACTTTGATTAGAAGGTAAATCGTTTGCTTAGGCAACGGGTCAAGGAGATTTCAAATAATACGTTGGCTGTTAATAATTTCTTGTGCCGTCATAAATCCTAGATGTTAAAAGTTAGTATCAACAATGGAGTGGCAGATAGGACTTGTATAATTACAAAAACGTCCATGACATAAGGTTCAAGTGTGCAGTGGTCATCTTTCAACCCCAGGAGGTTGCACGCTGCTTTCAGCTAACGTTAGATTGTCCGACGATGTTGATATTTCTGCCAGAAACTGTTTGTGTTCTCTGTACAAGTCGAGTTGTTAGAGGATTCACTTGAGTTCTTCCATCAGTTTATGATCTGAGTGATTCATTTAGTAGGGTGGTTACTCTTGATTCAATTTCATTGGAAGTCTTCTTCCATAATTTATCGTCATAATGATGAAGGGATCAAATCCTTGTTGTGTTTGTATCTTAAGATAGACCTTTGTGTTGCTTCTAGTTGACAATGTTATTATATACAATGACTCATTAAGCAATTGGTAATAGAATAAACTTGCACATTACTAGCCTTGTAGTTCCAGTTGATGGACCTCTCCTTCGGGGACCTATTTTGTGTAAGAATATGATGGATGTGCAAAATTGGGAAGATTGTAGTGTTCTTGGTTATGTACAGAAGAAAATTTGAAGGAGATTGATCTGAGATGTTTTGCCATTGGTTCACATTACATTTGAAGAATCAAAGACAGTTTCTTGATTGCACACAAAGCCGAACACAATTGCAAGATGAATAAGATAAAGTGGCATTAATCAGAGCAATCCAGACATGATCTCTTGAACGAATGAACGAATTCGATTGATTCATTGACGTAATCCAAATAAAGGAAGGGCAAGAAGTGATGAAGAGATTTGATGCCTCTACAGAACATAATTAGTAGTTGATCTGAATCAATTTTGTGAAGCAATTCAGAATCAGAAAGAAATAAAAGTTCATGAGGACCTACCCTTCTTTTTTTCTGATCCCCTCTTCTTTTTTTCTGATTCGAGGGGATCCTATTGACTTGTGATGTATCAATTATCATTTTAACGATCAACTTCTCCCATAATGATATCTATGCTACCTAGTATTGTCATAATATCAGCCAATTTCATTCTTTTAACTGAGGAAGAATTTGCAAATTGATAAAACCCGGCGGGCGAATTTTCCATCTCTAAGAAAAACCTTGATCCCCTTTCGGGGGCTTCATATAACAGTCCAAAGAGATGAATGAAATTGATAATCTCTCTAAACTGATTTCATCTAATAATTTTTTTTTAAAAAAATCTCTATCTAGGAGAATTTATTTCAAAGAGGGCATTCCATTTATATATAAAACAGGAAAAAAAAAAAAAAAAATCTTATATGCATCTTTGTTTCTTGTTCCCAGTCACATTACCATTCTTTTTAAAAAGGATTTGGTGTCGACTATATTAAAAGAATATTATTTAATCGTATTTAGTGATAATACTAATTTTTTTTCCCAAGAGAATAATGAAAGTAACTGAACTTGAGAACTTAGGAAACAAACATTATTATTATTATTATATACTATAAACAATATATGAAGGGACAAAATTGGATTTCCAGTTGCTCAAAAATTTATGAGCTAACTGAAACCTTATATATATATATATATATATATATATCTATAGATAAACTAGAAAAATGGGGCGGCTTTATTCTCCATGGGCCATCCTCCATTGTAGATATCTGGCTATTATTTGTCTTCTCCATGAAAGGAGGATTCAAGCTTCTCCTTCATTTGTTGCTCCAGCTGCCATAAGCTCCTCTTTCATTTGCTCAAGCTGCAGCTGTTCCTGTTCAGTAAAATCTCCAAATGATGAGCCGCTAGAAGAATCGCTTTCATCATATGCGATGGCTTCCCTTGGGGACAACGGCAGGGACTCGTCCCTCTGTTGAGGAGATGAATCTGTGACATTGCATTTCTCAGTGTCAGAGACAGAATAAAGATATCAAAGAAAGAGTTGAGAAGTGGGGGAGATACCCTTCTGTCTGGCTTGGAACTTTTTAGTATGGCGCCTAATAAGCTTCTTTGCTTTAGTTATAGTGAGCTGCCGAGCAAAAGGCGAGAACTCAGCTTCAGTGTCACTCCAGTCTCCTGGGAAATCACCATCAGCTTCTCCCCTCATTGTGCGCAACACGAATGCTTTGGCCTTGCGACGCTGATTGTTGAAAAGACCCCTGATTGATGTAACAAATCCGTCACCTGCCCCATCGGCTGGCCGCTTAAGCCAGGTTACTGGATTTTGGTCCGACTTTAGTACTAGAGCCCCTTCATTGTCGCTCAAATTGAAGTCGGTGTCAGGAACCAGCAGATTGGGGTGTTCCTTTTGAGTATGTGCTTTGTCTTTGAATTTCTTACCCTGCACGAGTGGAGGTGTTAGATTGTAAATAACTGACCTCAGTAATCTAGAATATAAGCTCATAAATTTAAAGGTGGTGATGAAAATTCACCTGCATTCCTGTAACAGACTTTAGAACTCCCCAGATGATATGCTTTTTAACTCGAGAGAACAGCCTACGCCAAGTGCCAGTGAACTCAACACGATGAAATGTATCCATCAGCAGCTTTAGATCATTGACAACAAATCTTGATCCTTCGTAGGTAACCAGCAACTCAACCTGTTTCAATAGTTCGTTGAGTGATTTGTTTCATTAACTGATTCAACGACAAATTTATAGACTGAGCTAACTAACCTGGCTAATCTTGATATTGTGGAACTCCATCAACTTTCGAGGTCTGGCTCTTTTCTCATCCTGAGGCTTAATCACCTTTTTCTCTTCGGATGAGCGACCAGCTGCTTTGAGAGCTTTGGGATCTTTCAATTTATTAGCTGATTCATCTGGTTGCTCACCAGAGCCTAATGGTCCACTTTTGGTGATGCTCTGCAAGACAAGTTCAGTAGCAACAGACTCGGCTACAGTCTCTTCCCAAGATCTATCAAAAGAAGATGTTCTTCTTAACTCGGAGCCTGAACTGCTGCCAGCATTAGACTTGGGGTTTTGTGACTTTGATGCCTGCAGAAAGTATCGGACAATTGATGAGAAAAGGAGCATGATACAAAGGAGGAATACAACTCATATACAATCAATACCAGCGATCTCAACAGAAGAAACCAATGATCATAAGATAATTAATTATTATCAGAAAAGAAAACTGGCCCCATGAGCCACAAGTGAGCTTAATAAACTCACTTGAGAGGATTCGGCGCTGGCAGATCCTTGACCACCGAGGGAGAAACCTAATTTGGAGAACATCTCTAACTCTTTTGATGTGGACACTTCACCTTTCTTTACGCGCCTTGAGCCTGCAGCCGTAGAAATTTTCCAAGCTTCCTGCAGCAAAAATTGAGCCACTCATGATCTATACTTGGGGAAAACTAAAGTAGAAGGCTGCCTTTCGCCTAGGAGTTGGATCCCAAAAGAAACAAGGCCTTCAACTCACCTGCCGTCTCTGTGAATCTTGATCTTCTTCTGAAAAAAGGTACCCCCACATCATCCGATACATTGCCTCAGTCAAGTGAATTTTGAGGGGATAAATGTCTACCTGTAAGAGTAAAGAATAACACGTTAAGAAAACAATCATGTACTGTGGATTAGATCACAAAATTATAATGATGAAGATAATTCTGCTTAATTGAATTTTTTTGGGAAACAGAAATTACTATGATATTATTTTCAAATGTTGAAGTGGTTCATATGACAAATGCACCGGAAGATTCATGATACAACAAACCATTCAAAGTAAAAAAGAGAAAACAAAAAAAAAAGAGAATCAGTTGCTGCAACCCATCCACACCTCCCATGCAACCACAGTTAACTATATGATCATCCACAACGCTAATGGAACATACAAGATAAGGTGAATGGAACAAGCTCAAAGGGTCCTTTTAGCTACCACCGCAAAACATCCAAATTGACGATGTCATTGAATCAAACATTCTCATACTATGCATCCTATAAAAGAAATGCTCACCATAATAAATTTGTACGAAGTATACTTGAACATTTGGAGAAAACAAAAGCGCTTATATTACCTGTAACATCTCAAGAAGTGAATTTCCATCCCTCGGAACTCCCTGCTTTGCATGCACTCGAACCATGACTAATCTGCAGCCATTAAAGTAGATGCTGTAAATTTCTGAAGAACCACATGAAGCAATTAGTACCTAAAATAATTACACAAGGAAAACCAGGAACTTCATTTTGAAGGGGCATTCGAGTATCCAATAAATAACAGAATTGCCAATCCCACTCTTGCATTTAGACTTTCTTGAAGTAAGTGCATCAGCCTTAAGGTCAACCAGAGAGAGTCAACAACCCATGAAGGCGTGAATAATAACAATCCAATAGTGAACTTCAGAATCATCCATGCTAATAATAATCCATGTGGGGTTGAAAATAATAATCTCGAATCATCCAAAAGCAAGGATTATATGAGAACTTCAGAAGGAAATTAGCATGTTATCCAATGAAAACCAAATACTAAGGGGATAGGGATGTAGCCTAGACAGACTTGTAATACTTTCACCAAGAGGCAGGAGAAACAGATAAAAAAGAGCTGAAAAAGAACGTACTTTCCCCAGTCTGGTGGAGGATTCCATGCTGATAGAAGCATGTCAGACTTGGCATTGGCCAAGCAATTTCGTATAACAAAATTCTTCGTAGTAAACTGAGCAATGCCAATATCTTTGTAATCACGGTCAAAATCATAAAACTGTAGTAACAGATGGTAACAAGTATTACTTACAATAATCAAGCATTACCATAATTGTAGATATATAACAAAAATATTATTGAATATCATCCCAAAAAAGAAAAGAAGAAAAAAAAAACCGACAAGCATTAGTATACATCAAGCCTGACCTCAAGCTAATTCACAGCAATTTTTAAATAATATTACTAGATTTTACTGCTGAGATTTCACCAATCCTGAAACCCTGGGTAATTTGTAAAAATTTGAAAAATCAAACAACCGTGATATTCTTGACATGAAGCATCTAAACCAACTAGCATAGTTGCAACTTCTTTTGGATAGGAAACATGAAAATGTATTATTAAAGAGAATCATACAGAAAGGAGGAGATGAGATATCCCAACCACACCATCCTAGTTGAAACTACAAGAACTCTAGATAATAAGATATCAAGAGAAACTTGCTGAAAGACGAGCATTTTTAGAGTTTGGAACATTCAGAGAAGAGCATTTATAAATTCTGCTTCTCTTTTTGCTGTTTATATGTATGTATGTGTATATATATGCATAGGAAATTTAGAAATGAAGGACTTTTTAGACTCTCACCATGTCATTTAGTTCAGTTTCTGCAAAAGGTTTACCATCAACAAGCATGCTCCAGACAACTTTGTCAATTTTCAAAGAAATCCGCATAGCATATGAAGGACTTTTGTTCTTCTCCTTCTCCATCAATCGTGCCTGAGCAGCATCCTGAAGAGCCACCCTTAACGATGCATATGCCGTTTTCCTAGATTTTTGTGCATTTACAAGCTCTCTC